TTAGCTACTTCTGTGACTATGCACCTGTTTTTAGACTCGCCTGTAATGATTACACACCGCAGTGGTCAATCGCTTCAACTTCAAGCATGGTGAATCTGATGGGCCCTTTGACTTTTATCCTCCTGTCTTATGTCATCATTCTGGTCACTGTGTTCAGGATGAAATCAGTAAATAATAGGATGAAAGCTCTCGCTACTTGCATTGAACACCTAGTCCTTGTTGCTGTATATTTCACTCCTATAATCATAATTTTCTTAATTGGTCTTTATGTGCGATCCATTGACCCGGACCAGCGCGTGTTGAGTCTGTCGCTGGCCTCTTGCATCCCACCCTGTATAAATTCTGTTGTATATTCTTTAAAAACAAAAGAGATCAGAACCAGAGCCCTGGCATTGGTCAAAAGAGTAAAAGTAAGCCCTTAACAAATTTATTTTCCTTCCAAAAGCTATCATTGGACAGTTATAATGCTCAACGGTCACGATTGTGTGCGTGTGTGTGCATGTGTGTGGTGGAACAAAAAGAGGTCTACAGTAAAGGAAATGGGAATGGTTGTGTCTGATTTATAAGCATTTCAAAGCTTAAAGTTTAATATTATGTATCAATCATATTAATTCATAATATGTTTTTCTTATATTCTTTTTATTTGATATACTGCTATTACGTTAACAAATTCAAGAGCATGAAATAATGCCGGAAAACATATTAGTGACTTATGACATAAAATATACTTGTTGTAAACTGTATTTGATTGTAATTATTTGCAATGTGTTCATATGACTGCTCTGGTTCTTCTGTGTCATATGGAATCCTCTTATCTGAAATACTTTTGTTTACTGTATCTCTTTTGTTTATTCCTTATAAATGATTTGGCAAAGCAAAATGTCCCTTTATGTGTGTTGCATGAAACAACATCAGAGAAGCATTTTTGACGATGTTGGCACAAGTTGAATTTTTTTTTCCTTTCCTAAATATGTGATGAAAAGAGTAGGCATGCATTATCATTTTCAAGGATAAATATTTTAAACTTTTGATATTTAAAAAATTAACTGGAGCATACTTGGGAGGATAAATGAAATACGCAATTGTTCCTACTGTTGTATGTCTCCTACTATGAACCATGTCGGCAAGTGGTTCAATTGAAAATACCAACATCATCAGTAGATATCTGTAAATTATTTTTAAATGATTTATTTGCTGAAATATAAATATATATAATATATATAAACTGGCATTAGATATATAGTTCTATGTGGAAATCTACCAATAAACCTAAAAATGAATGTACAAGAATCACTTTCCGCTGAGCCTAAAGCTTGCATGGAAATTTGTGTTTGTAAGTCCTTTAGGAAGGCCTATAAATGTATAAAACAAAGTAAAAATTGTTATTTGATTAAACAAAACATAGGCAGAGGACACTGTCGGAGTGGCAGGTCAATGACCTCTGGAGTGTCTCCTGCAGCCATTAGAAAGCAGTTGGAAGTTAAATGAAAAGAAAGTTTCACACAAGCAATTAATGTAATGCTCCGATTTCCCTCTGTTTTTAATTGCCATTATTCCTAATAGGTGCAACTGAGATTAATTAGTCTGATTACAGTAAAAATGTTTGTTCGTTAAAGTTGAGATCATTAATCTGAATTCTCTGGAGATGGCAACACAAGCTGGGCTCATTATAACTATTTTGTTTTGTCTTACCCATCGTGTTTAGTGATGAATTTCTCCTCTGGGAACATTTACCAACTGAAAAGTCGTTTAATGTGTTTGTCCCTGATTACTAAGTCTGTACAAACACAGTTCACAAAATGACTAAAAAGTTTTATCTCACAATAATTGAACTCTGTATGCTCTACCTGTATTCAGCTGACAGCAACTTGATTGAACCATTGTTTCTAAAGAGTCACACTACAAGACGGACCATAATATGAGTTCTGTTTTTTATTTGTATTATTTTGAATTTTTCGTTTTTATGTTTACCTTTGGCTTGTATATACGTGTACAGCATCTCAGAAACTGCCTCTGCAAATGTTATTGTGTGTCTGTGCTTCTCCCCCTAAAATAAACGAATAAATTGAAAACAATATATAATTTGTTTCACTAATGAAACTGAATTGTCAAGAATCAGATCAATGCACCATAGAAGGCACAACATGTTTTTCTTAAGTTGTTGTTGTTTTTTTATTAATAAATGTTAACATCTTGAACCATTATGAACCAGGCTGTAAAATAATGAGCCCCCGTGAGTGGGCCCAACATGTTTGTAACAGGCAAGCTTTTTTATTCTTCAGGTTATATGAACTACAGAACATTCTATATATATATGCATTGTAAAACATTCACCACATAAGCTAAGTCCATACTATGATAAAGTATGGACTACAAAATGATGATGTTGTTGCAACAATGTATTCACTGATAGCCAGGAATGCTACGATGTATTAACATAATGAGTTGAGTGTTCGGTAGGAAGCGGAACTAATGACGAACGGACATCGACGGAACTATTTTACGGTTACACGTTCGTCCGCTGCTAAAATGTGTCCTCCGAGAAACACTTGCAGTTGACTCTGTGGTTTGTTATGAGAAGTCTAGAATAAAGTTTAGTAGGCTCTGGAAAAATAATTCCAGTGTCTCAACGAAAAGATCGCTCAAAGAGAATAAACAGGTAAGAAAAACGAAGGGTTACGTAAACATGTGTGTTTGCTAGCACCTCTCTCGATACTGTTAGCCTACATTTGAGCTAAGGTTATAGAGTGTATTCTCTTATTAATGCAGCTACATGACAACGACGAATGTTTACTGTACTTAAGTATACGTAGCAATACTTTTTTAAGGAAATCCACGTCAATTAACAGCCCTATTTCAAAATTCCGCTCTGGTACAATAACAGGTACTCTAAGCAAAGTCTAGCCTGCTTAATGTTAAGTGTCACTTTTAAATGTAAAACTACTCGTTGTGCAAAATGTCTCCCATAGAAGTGAAGGGTATTATTGGTCCATCAACATGTCAGACCAATGTTGCAGCTGGTCGAGGTGAAGCTCATTTCAGCTGTTCATCATCATATTTGTTAAGATCATTATATGTTTTGAAACTGTGAGTCTGTGTAGTGGAGTGAAAGTATAAGTGCTAATGTCTTGACTGTAGAAGCTAGTTTTAGGTCGGATCTTTAACAGAAATTCACTCCAGTCTTCTTGCTCAGTTTCACAGACTGTCAGCAGCTAGAGGACAGTTAGCTCACATTCGAGTCCTTGATCTTAACTACAAGGTTGCACTTAGGGACCATCAATTAATTATAGTTAGAGTGACACAAAACCAAAGTTATGTTCATGCTTGCTCTCTTATATGATATATCTATCTATATGTCTTATGCTCACCTATTATGATTACTGATGTGTCATTAATTGATTTTACATGATAGAAGATCATACATTTTTGTTCAATAGCTTCCATTTCATGTGACCCAGGGACTCAGAATTCAAATATGATTACCCCAATGGAAAAATAACACACCTAATTTATTTTAGTGCTTTTATCTATTCTATGAGGCATTACTAGTTTTCATTGTTTGTTTTTATATGGGGCTATCAAAAAAAAGAGGAAAAAAGTACAGATTTTTCCCTGTTAAAATGAACAGCAAAGACACTTGGATAGACCTACTAGATGTTTTGTGGTTTTTCCTAAGACTATATTATTACCTGTGTATTAACTGTCTATTGAAACCATTATGTGTTATCCTCAGCAGAGCAACTGAGTCAGCACAGGATGGCGTCCCCCCATGACCGCAGCCGTAAAGATGAAGATGAGGATGACCCCGTTGATCGGATGATATCCCGCACTGGCTGTGCAGAGCAACATTACGCTGTGCAGGAGTGCATGGCTGAACACCAGGACTGGCGCATCTGCAAAAGCCAGGTCCAGACTTTCAAAGACTGCATGATGAATTTCCAAATCGCCCGGAAAGAGCAGCTGATGAAGCAGCGGCAGAAAACCTTCCCTGAGTCTGCTCCGAGCTGAACACACTGGCTGGGATGTGTTGAGGGCATGCAAATCAAAAGACTGTACCTAATCACAATATTGTTGATTCAAATAAAGTATGAGCAGCTACAAAGAAAACAACGACTTGGACTTTCATGTTTGTGTGGTCAAGAGCGCTATGGATAAATATGAGCTAATAGAAGTAAAAGTGAGATTATGCCAAAGAAAGGTTTGAGGACATCTAATAACTTTATTTTAAATGTTTTATCCAGCAGAGAGCACAGGGAAGTTCTTTTTTTTTTATTGTCACTTTAATAAGCAGAAAATGTTTAACATGTCTTTTTATTATAATTGGATACAAACACACTGCTGTCACCAGAGGCCACAATGGCACAATAGTATTATTTGAAAAGGCTGTGATTTAGGAATTTGTAAATTGACAAAGAGTTAACATAAAGTTGTCATATTTGTGAAGATTAAAGTATAAGTGCAGTGTTACTGCAACATCATGTCAATGATACAGAAATCATGTCAGCAACACAGCCACTTTATATTGGGAAGCATTGTATCCAAACATTTAAAAAGTCCTGAACGGTTTAAAAGCATTATTACTTAAAACAATAATCAGATGTTATTTGAGTTTGAGTATAAAATAAGCTTAATCAGAATAAGCTGTAAACCTGCTCTTAATGACTTCCTTAGCTAGTTTTGTCTCAAGAGATCAATGAAGGAAGTATATCTTCCCCAATACACAAGACAGACGTGCAGTCATGTGTTTCCTGCTTTGAGATTGCAGCATTACATTAGAGCTGTTGCTCAACGATCATTAAGAGACCATCAGGTAGGCCACATTCACAGATTTCTTTCAGCATTTGTACAGTTTTGAATTGACTGAGAATGTCTGATATACTGCAATGTTTTAATTTGCTAATTGAACCAGCATGCACATGTGGTTTATAACTTCTATAGAGGTCTAATGTACAATATTTCTTTGTTCTTTAGACAGGAGAGCTTTTCAGCAGAGTTCGTCCAGTGTGGAGATCTACTATGTCTTTTCTCAGGACTGTTTTTAATGACTCTAACATCATCATTCATCCTCCAGGCTTCTATATCATTGGGTTTGAGACTTTTCCCTTCATCAGTGTCTACTTTATCTTTCTATCGTTTGTTTATGTGGTCACAGTGCTTGCCAATTGTTTGGTGATCTATGTCATTTGCTTTAATCGTTCTTTACACACTCCAACATTTCTGGCTGTGGTAAACCTTGCAGTAATTGATGTTATCCTGAACACATGCACTATTCCCAGCATGATAAAGATATTCCTTGTTAAAGATAACTTTATTCCATTTAACCTTTGCATGTTACAAATGTATGTCTACTACGCTTTTATGTCTTTGGAGTCATATGCACTTGCTATACTTGCCTATGACAGGTTGATTGCAATATGTTTCCCTATGCGTCACAACTCGATCAACACAATGCAGAGCATGTCATGGATTGTCGGCGTGACTTGGTTTTTTGGTCTGGGAGTAACATTATTTACAACAAGTCTAATGTCTCGACTGTCTTTTTGTAATTCTGTCAGAGTGTTTAGCTATTTCTGTGACTATGCGCCTGTGTTCAGACTCGCCTGTAATGATTATTCAATGCATTGGGCTTCAGCGTCTTTCCTTAGCATTTTGATACTTGCAGTACCCTTTATTTGTATTCTCCTGTCTTATGTGAGCATTCTGGCGACTGTATTCATGATGAAATCTTTAGACAGTCGGGTGAAAGCTCTGGCCACTTGTGTGGAGCATATCATCCTTGTTGCTGTGTTTTACATTCCTATTCTTACCATATTTTGCGTTGGGTTCTATCTGGGTCTGATCGACCCAGACCAGCGTGTGCTGAGTCTGTCGTTGGCCTCTTGCATCCCACCTTGTGTCAATCCTCTCATATATTCTTTGAAAACCAAAGAGATCAAAATCAGAGTTCTGGCATTGGTAGGAAGAAATACAATTGGCACATAACCAACAAACCCCCCAAAAAACAATCCTTTTAGGGTTGATAAAACACAGCATTAAATTTAAAAAAAGGACCAATTGGCAGTAGTAAGTCAATTGATTTACTAGCATGATGTTGCTGGTATCTCTAATATTACTTAGCTAATCTGTACTTAAGTAAAATTCGACATTTCTATCGTAACACTTTTTCGTTAAATCTACTGTGTGCATTTCATAGTGTTAAAGAAATTAACGGAAAAGAGCATGACTATAGAGCAGCAGCCTTGAGGCTCTGTTGCTCCTCATCACTAAAGCAGGTTATGGGCAGACAGCATGCATGAGCCACACAAATGAATCTCAAAAGGCTCAACTCTAAAGGATCATTGTTTTGTTTTGTGTGCAGGTTTTGTGTTGTGATGTGCTATATATTTTGAGAACCTTTAAAGATTTGGTGTCGATGTTGTTTGTAATTATTCATTGTCAGAACTTTCTCAAATTTGAATGTACTTCAACTGCTTAGATATCTTATTTGTGACTGATAAAAGTGAATATTGTTTTATTGTGTTTATTTATACCAACAATGAAGTTTAAAAGTGAAGTAATTCATCTTCCACGTATACATGAGTTAAAAATCTGTAAAAACGTAAGCATTAAACATGTGGACTTCATGTACCTGTGTACTTCATTACTGTTCAAATCATTGAATCTTGGTTTAACTTTGTTGTTTTGGGAATCTAGTAAATCTAACGTGCTGAAAGAAAACCCGATTACAGACCTTGTTTAAGGATGAAGAAAATAAAAGGGCCGTGCAGATGAATGTGAGATTCACTGACTACATCACAGATTGAGTAACCCCGGTGAACCTTCACCATGAAAACTGGCTTGTACCATATCACCAAATTACCAGGTTTGGATATACTCTATCACACTAAACACTTTACTGCTAAAATAATAGCTAATGATTCAGAGAACAAGTATATATAAACTCCAAAACACAATTGAATGAATGAGCTCTTAATACCCTCTTTACAATTACATATTATTCACTTGCACACGCTGTAGAACACAATGTTTCAAGTAAAACATTTAGTGAAATAAAGTCTGTTATTGGATTGATTTGAATTCAACCGTAGCATCGCAGTTCTAGTCACACATGCCAAAGGAGCATGACAAGGCCAACAACAAGACCAAAGGTGGCACATTATATCTGGAGTTTTAGTGTTAATAGGAGGAAGCAGCCTAAGACTTTTAGGCAGTGGAGAAAGACCAAGACAACCGACCCGGCTGCTGGCCTGGAAAAAGGTACTTTAAATGAAAGGACCGCTTTCTAAAAACACCATAGAATAATGGGACCTTTAACCTCCATGCTGTATTGTGTTTATTCGCATCAGTAACAATCACAACTCAGATGAATTAGTTTGAAGTTTGCACAGTAAAAGGTTTGCTTGTTAAAGACAAGGTCATTAACAGAAACTCTCTGGTGACGGCATCCCAAATTAGGCTCATTAAAACCATGGCCTGTTTAAGAAAGTCAGCATAATACATGTTGTTTCCAAACTTTCTGAAAGTTGTTTTGTCTCAATAATGTATTGAAAAAGTACATTTACAGAAATCTAAATAAGCAAATGATTACACAATAATGCTTATTACATGTATGTGACCAAATAAGTCAGTGACTCAAGTGTGGTTGGTCCTGAATTCTCCATCTACTCACAAGAGGTACTTCTCATTAATGAGGGTTATAAAGTGCTTGTGAACTGAGCTTAATAAGTTTAATGAAAAGAAAAAGTAATGCCGTGATCTCTGTGGAACAAATTAATATCATTAAAAGGCTTCTTCTTCTCAGTATCACTAGAAAGCTTTATCTCGGGAGATCAATAAGGAAAGTATATATTCCACTGTATAAGGGGGTCAGACAGTTAGAGTCAGAGTTACTATTGATCCAGGGCCTCAGGTAAGCTTCATGATTAACTATCACATAACTACTTTAAACACTGTTAGGTTGAATTGTATTAATGAAAATGGCATGATAATTATGCATATGAGGCTTTTCAACGTCTACGTGTGTGATGTGATTGATTTCCTCTTTATCAGACCAGAGAGCCATCCTCCATCACAGGCTGCGGAGATCTACTATGTCTTTTCTCAGGACTGTTTTCAATGACTCCAACATCATCATTCATCCTCCAGGCTTCTATATCATTGGGTTTCAGACTTTTCCCTTCATCAGTGTCTACTTTATCTTTCTATCGTTTGTTTATGTGGTCACAGTGCTGTTCAATAGTTTGGTGATCTATGTAATTTGCTTTAATCGTTCTTTACACACTCCAAAATTTCTGGCTGTGGTAAACCTTGCAGTAATTGATGTTATCCTGAACACATGCACTATTCCCAGCATGATAAAGATATTCCTTGTTAAAGATAACTTTATTCCATTTAACCTTTGTATGTTACAAATGTTCGTCTACTACGCTTTTATATCTTTGGAGTCATATGCACTTGCTATACTTGCCTATGACAGGTTGATTGCAATATGTTTTCCTCTGCGTCACAACTCGATCAACACAATGCAGAGCATGTCATGGATTGTCGGCCTAACTTGGTTTTTTGCTATAGGAGCAATCGCATTTACAACAGGTATAATGACTCAACTGTCTTTTTGTAATTCTGTAATAGTGTTTAGCTATTTCTGTGACTATGCGCCTGTGTTCAGACTCGCCTGTAATGATTATTCAATGCAGTGGGCTTCAGCTTCCTTCCTTACTGTTTTGCTGCTTGTATGCCCCTTTACTTTTATTATCCTGTCTTATGTGAGCATTCTGGCGACTGTATTCATGATGAAATCTTTAGACAGTCGGGTGAAAGCTCTGGCCACTTGTGTGGAGCATATCATCCTTGTTGCTGTGTTTTACATTCCACTTCTTACCATATTTTGCGTTGGGTTCTATCTGGGTCTGATCGACCCAGGCCAGCGTGTGCTGAGTCTGTCGTTGGCCTCTTGCATCCCACCTTGTGTCAATCCTCTCATATATTCTTTGAAAACCAAAGAGATCAAAATCAGAGTTCTGGCATTGGTAAGAAGAAATACAATTGGCACATAACCAACAAACCCCCCAAAAAACAATCCTTTTAGGGTTGATAAAACACAGCATTAAATAAAAAAAAAGGACCAATTGGCAGTAGTAAGTAAATTGATCACTAGCATGATGTTGCTGGTATCTCTAATATTACTTAGCTAATCTGTACTTAAGTAAAATTCGACATTTCTATCGTAACACTTTTTCGTTAAATCTACTGTGTGCATTTCATAGTGTTAAAAAAATTAACGGAAAAGAGCATGACTATAGAGCAGCAGCCTTGAGGCTCTGTTGCTCCTCATCACTAAAGCAGGTTATGGGCAGACAGCATGCATGAGCCACACAAATGAATCTCAAAAGGCTCAACTCTAAAGGATCATTGTTTTGTTTTGTGTGCAGGTTTTGTGTTGTGATGTGCTATATATTTTGAGAACCTTTAAAGATTTGGTGTCGATGTTGTTTGTAATTATTCATTGTCAGAACTTTCTCAAATTTGAATGTACTTCAACTGCTTAGATATCTTATTTGTGACTGATACAAGTGAATATTGTTTTATTGTGTTTATTTATACCAACAATGAAGTTTAAAAGTGAAGTAATTCGTCTTCCACGTATATATGATTTAAAACCCAGTAAAAAATGTAACAAGCATTAAACATGTGGACTTCATGTACCTGTGTACTTCATTACTGTTCAAATCATTGAATCTCGGTTTAACTTTGTTGTTTTGGGAATCTAGTAAATCTAACGTGCTGAAAGAAAACCCGATTACAGACCTTGTTTAAGGATGAAGAAAATAAAAGGGCCGTGCAGATGAATGTGAGATTCACTGACTACATCACAGATTGAGTAACCCCGGTGAACCTTCACCATGAAAACTGGCTTGTACCATATCACCAAATTACCAGGTTTGGATATACTCTATCACACTAAACACTTTACTGCTAAAATAATAGCTAATGATTCAGAGATCAAGTATATATAAACTCCAAAACACTATTGAATGAATGAGCTCTTAATACCCTCTTTACAATTACATATTATTCACTTGCACACGCTGTAGAACACAATGTTTCAAGTAAAACATTTAGTGAAATAAAGTCTGTTATTGAATTGATTTGAATTCAACCGTAGCATCGCAGTTCTAGTCACACATGCCAAAGGAGCATGACAAGGCCAACAACAAGACCAAAGGTGACACATTATATCTGGAGTTTTAGTGTTAATAGGAGAAAGCAGCCTAAGACTTTTAGGCAGTGGAGAAAGACCAAGACAACCGACCCGGCTGCTGGCCTGGAAAAAGGTACTTTAAATTAAAGGACCGCTTTCTAAAAACACCATAGAATAATGGGACCTTTAACCTCCATGCTGTATTGTGTTTATTCGCATCAGTAACAATCACAACTCAGATGAATTAGTTTGAAGTTTGCACAGTAAAAGGTTTGCTTGTTAAAGACAAGGTCATTAACAGAAACTCTCTGGTGACGGCATCCCAAATTAGGCTCATTAAAACCATGGCCTGTTTAAGAAAGTCAGCATAATACATGTTGTTTACAGACTTTCTGAAAGTTGTTTTGTCTCAATAATGTATTGAAAAAGTACATTTACAGAAATCTAAATAAGCAAATGATTACACAATAATGCTTATTACATGTATGTGACCAAATAAATCAGTGACTCAAGTGTGGTTGGTCCTGAATTCTCCATCTACTCACAAGAGGTACTTCTCATCAATGAGGGTAATAAAGTGCTTGTGAACTGAGCTTAATAAGTTTAATGAAAAGAAAAAGTAATGCCGTGATCTCTGTGGAACAAATTAATATCATTAAAAGGCTTCTTCTTCTCAGTATCACTAGAAAGCTTTATCTCGGGAGATCAATAAGGAAAGTATATATTCCACTGTATAAGGGATCAGACAGTTAGAGTCAGAGTTACTATTGATCCAGGGCCTCAGGTAAGCTTCATGATTAACTATCACATAACTACTTTAAACACTGTTAGGTTGATTTGTA